CATGTGCTTTTTAAGTAATCAAGAAAATAATTTCTCAAATCATCAGATGGGTGAACAAACAAGGCTGATTTTGGTTTTCAGCACATTAATCTCCTTAGTTTTGCCGATTATCAGAGATTTTCTATTTCTAATTACGTTCCACAATGACATTTCCGAGGCATAAACAGAGATTGTGTGTGCGCGCACGCCACAAACAAGGTATTTCATTACAGCCGAAATCATGACGCGAGCGACCTTGACTGTAATCTCACATCTGTATCTGCAGTGCAAAAGGCTACGCTGACATTTTGTATCCCTGCGCTGTAGGCAAGGAACCGGGTGCTCTAATATGTCCTGAAATCTAATAAGGCGGAAAAAAACCTGCGGATTTGAGAACTGTCTCCGAAAATGTATTCTCCCAGGATTTATTTTACTCTGAGACAATGATAAGAAGTGCCTATTCTCCACCTCTGCTTCAAAAGAGTGCTTTTTGCTAGTTTAATGACAGGTTAAATCTCCCTGCCTATCACTTAAAAACCAAAGTGATTGTATTAGACTTGCCATGGAGCTGATATAACCGAAACCATTCAGTATTTAAAGTCACACAGGCTGCAGCTAACGTGCTTTAGAGCTAAAAGTGTCGGGTGAATACTAAAAGAGCTGGTGCTGAGGCGAACCAAGCTGGAACACATTTCCACTCTTCTTTTTTTTTTTTCCATCGCACTGTTGCTGGTTAACAGCAGAGGATGGCCGGCACTGAGACACTATTGAAGAAAACATCCAGCCTCGTACCTCCCCTACTCAACCCTCCTCTGTTTTGTCTGTGCAACAGAGAGCAGTGGCGTGTTGCAAGACAAGGCCCACTGTCATTCCTCTGTGATGAGGTTTTTTTGACTGCCGGGGGATTAGCAATGTAAGCCGTGGTATATGTGACTTTGTGGGGGCAGTTTGCTTCGCTTCCTTTGTGCTGGGAAGCGGCTCGATGTCAGCCGAGTTAGAGTGAAACGTAACATGAGAGCAGGAGGCGAAAGGAAAAAGTGCATCGCTTTAATTCCTTACATGCTGCAACAGGATACATTTTCACTAATGGTGCCAATACATGGCAAGCAAATCCCCAATATTAGCAAATTTAATCCAATCAATTTGAACACTGTGTTTTCCCCCAACATGAGATAAAAGCTAGGCCATTAGCAGTTTAAGCTGTTCTATTAAAAGGCTGCACTGTCAATACCAATTTAAGCGTTAGGCCCATCTTCTTCTCGTGTACTGTTTGTCCTGTCTTCGGAGCCATCTTCTCCTCCTCCTCCCCCTTATAAGCCCATTATAAACCTCCTTCTCCGAGCTGGAGCCTCTCATTGGCAGCCGCGGCACAATTCTGACTCACCTATGAGCCATCGCTGTTTATTGGGATGCTTACAGGACCGCGAGACAAGAAAGTACACAACTCCACAGAGAGAGAGCGAGAGAGAGGAGGGGAGGACGGCGGAGGTACACAAGGCAAATTCAATAGCACTCCACAAGAAAAGGCAAGGCCGGATAAAACATGTTATTACTGTATTTATGACTTATCTGTCCTGATGTTGCGATTGGGTGAAATAATGGCTTGCGAGTCTGTTTTATAACAGAGTGGCTGCGGCTCGGCCGCTCTCGGTGCATCCAGCAGCTCGAGAAGCGCTCTTTAGCGAGACACTCGACCGTTTTCAGGCCCTCAGATTGTTAAACATTCGGCATAACAGCCACTGCTATCTAATATATTTAATAAGGCTATTGCAAAAGTAATGATTCACAGTGAAAATGCCATCAAAAGAGAAGAATCCAACAGTGAGGTCCTCATTATTTGTTGTAAAACTGAACTGATGAGCAGTTTCACTGGCAGGCGTCCTTCCCAGCCTGTTTATGAGCAGCAATGCTCAGGAAAAGGTGTGCCTGGCAACGGCACTGATTAGTAGAACTCACAGTTCTCTTGTGCACTGATTTGTAACTTAATAGGTTTCCCACATAGTGGCTTCCTTTTAAAGAAATCTCTAAAAAGTGCATAAGCATGTTACTGTGGTTTATTTTAAATGTGCAACAAGACTACCTAGTTTAATCAGGCAGTGGAAGGGTTATTCAGGTTTCATGTAAAGGACATTTCAACATTTTTCGAGATGCATACAGGCGACAAATTAAAGGAAAATTCCCATCGAGGGAATCCAGTGGCTGTGGAGGGCATTTTGCTGCCAAGGTTTGGGTCCATTTGTTCCTTCAGAGGGAAAAGTTGCTGCAAATCAATACATAGTTGTTCTGAGGGATCATCTTTACCCAATCATGAAACATTTCTATGCTGATCGAAGCAGTCTCTTCTACAATGACAGTCCCTTCATCCATAGTGTTCGATGCTCCCATCTTGTTGTGTTTTTTTTTTTTTTTTTCTCCCTCTTTCCTCTCTTCTCTCAGGCTCTCTCCCATTCCCAGTGATTTGTGGGTGGTTTTGGCAACAGCCTATTTAAAGGAGGCTGGAAGAGAAGGAGCTTCTCTCAGCCCTCCTGCTGCAGCCTCAACCCCATACCTGTTCTCTGTTGTTTTTCTCGCTTCCTTTCGAGCATGAATTTCTGGTGGTTCCGTTTTCATGTTTTTTTTTTTTATGTTTTTGTTTTGTTTTTGTTTTGTTGGTGCGCTTTTTGTTAGGTTGCAGGGGGAAAGCTCTGGGTGTGGGACTCCCTCCATCCTTTTGTTCTTTTTGGCCAGTCCTTCCAGACTCCCATAGTTTTTTGGCTTTATTTGAAAAGAAAAGAAAATTCTTTTGTTTGATATGTTTGATCTCGGGTGTGGCGTCCTCTATATATATGTTGCAGATCATTGGGTTGTGGCCATAATAGATATTGCCTCAGAGGTCACTGAATGGTTTTGATGTGTGTGAGAACGTTGTGAATCGTTGGCTTTGGCCTTTGCAGTCACCAGATGCAACCCAGTTGAACACCCAGGGGCAATGTGACAAACAGCGCTCTCCACCGCCATCATCAAAACACCAAATGAGGGAATATCTTTTGTAAGAATGGTGTTTCATCCTTCCAGTAGAGATTAGAGACTTGGAGGATCAATGCCAAGACACAGTGAAGCTGTTCTGGCAGCATGTGGTGGCCAAACACCTTATTAAGAGACTCTGTATGTTTCTCAGTAAGTTGGGTTTTCAACAGAGTGTATATATAAGATGGACGGAGCCACAGGGACATCAACCATTAGTTGTGGACTATCGTTTTGAAGTCTGGTGCTTGAAAACTGTCTATTACAATCTTTTGAAACCAGATGTAGCAAGCGCAGGATGGATCACGAGGCAGACCTACATTATCGTGCTACTTTACCGTAAATGGGACCATGATTTACAAAATGAACATCATGTTGTATTGAATGAGGCTTAAAACTAAAAGTAGAGACCATAAAGTAATTGAAAAAATGTCTGCTGAGGGAGCAAATCAAGGTACAAGTAGGGCAATTTTCCCATATACTTCTATAGCTTTTTTAATAGTTGCCTCCTACTGGCTGTTAGAAAGAATGCAGGTTTAATGCACTTTCATGTTGACTTCACCTTTCCGACCTGGAGGCAACATCCATCTCACATATATAGTCTACGGTTTTTCCAAGTGTGCGATGTCAGTATTTTCTACGTACATTCAGTGGAATCGGTGCTTTATCTGATTTTTTTACAAATGGAAGGATATATACAGTAATACTGATGTATATTTCTTATTTATTTCAATTTTTTTGGCCCTAATTTTTTGCCGCTTTTACTGCTGTAACACTGCAAAATGTCCTATTGTGGGATTAATAAAGGCTGCCTTATCTCATTTTCACTTAAAAATCAAGGCCAACATATGTCGCACCTCAAAACCACACGTAAAACAACAACTTTTTTTTACAGATTAAACAAATGAGATGTAATGTCAAAATTACGGGCGTAGGCTCTGGAGGTTCTCTAAGTGAGCTGCTCTGTTTCATGCAAAATTAAAATGTTTTCCGGTGCTTGCTACATATTTAGGATGCTGATTTGAAAGCAGTGTGAAACCTCTCATCTAACCCGTAGCTGGAAAGTGAATAAGGATATTTCGTCTTACAAAATGTCGAGCTTACATTTAAAAACAAATCCCGTGAGGCTCTGACAGTGTACCAGTGGCTGTAACACGGTGTTTGAACATTATAATGCAGAGGAGGAGCAGTAGATGCCTAGATTGAAATATTTCTTTCTATTAGGTGTGAAGCATGTGTGAGAGCGTGAGCACTGCATGTTTGCTCCTGTTAACCTAAGACTGTTTACTTTACTCTGAGATCATATGATGGTGGTAGAAACGTGTCGTGCTGCATCTAGCCCCAGGACTATTATTTACATAGTGAAGGTCATATCTTGCAGCACTGAATAGAATTTAATTAAGTCGAGGGGGATTGACAGTTCTTGATAAAATGCACACTACTCAACTTAATTGCTTTTTGACAGCTCCGCAGAGTTTGCAGAAAGAAGAAATTGGATTAATAGATGGATAACCCTCATGCTCACCTGACTGTGCCATCTACAGACCACGGCACATCAAGCGCCCACAGAACATGCCCGTCAGTGTCTGTCTACTGTAAATAGACGACGACATGCCATGCAGGTGGTTAGCCGCGTGCAAGTCTCAGCGGGTGAAAGCTCTACTAGACATCTCCCAAGTGCGATCTAGTTAGGTGCCTCGAGCGCTAACATTGGCTACATCCACGAGGGAATCAGTGCTAATTAAATTGCAAATGCAAGTAATTAACACCAGATTCACCTCGAGGCTAAAATGAGTGGTGATCAACAGAGCCGCACTGTGTAGCAGTTTTCAGCCGTGCAAGAAGTCGGTCAATGGGTCTGCAAATCATGAAAAGCAAACCTCTGAAGCTGAGGAATTTAACAGTCAATGGAGCAGCATTGAGCATCTGGTTTCATGCACATCACACAATTAAAAGTCATAAGACCACAAGTGTATAATGGGGAGTCATCAATACGTGTAAAAGTAAGGAATTTGTACCTGGTATTCATTAGGCCAGAAGGTGCTGACAGCCAGGTCAACCTGGTGCCACTGTTTGCCGTGAGACCCGGACGTGTTCCAAACCGGACTGCCGAGCGGACCGCCGTTGACCCGCACGTACGCCCGCAGGGCCCCGGGGCTGTGGCCGTCCCGGCTGTACAGGAAGTAGCTGAACTGGACGCAGTGGGTGTCGTTTTCACTCAGCGTCTGCAGGAGCATCTGAGCGCGGTGACCCACGGCATGCTGGGAAGAGTTCACCAACATGTAGGAGCCTGAAAAATAAAAATGCATCACTTATTGTAGAGGTTAACAAAAAGGAGATTTCAAATGGAAAGTCTGAGGTGTGGGAGATACAAAGTATGGAAGGGAGTATTTCCATTTTATTCAGTTAGCGTGGTCGTGGGTTGTTTGTGTTGCCCATTGATTAGTGTATACAACATGGTTTAGGCATGCATGCTGCAACCAAGTCTCAATATTTTGCAGCGCATCTGAACCAGAGGTTAAACTGTCATGTCAAAGGTTTTACGAATTCATTTCCATTCTTGTGTTGCAGTCATACTTTTGATAATATCTCATGTGGTAACACTCATTCACATGTTTTAAATCTCTTACACATTGAATATTGAACTGAAGCTTGACTATTTTCCCAATTCGTTTAGCCCGAGTTATTTATAATCTTCAAACTTTATGCATCATAGCGTCTCACTTCAGCTGTCAGTTGCCATCCTTTGTATGCTGAGAAAGCCTTCCTGTTCTTCTTCTGAATGCAAAACGTTAAAAGTTTTAAAATTCAGGGTCATTTTGTTTCTAAGTCAGTCTGTATGTATATTTCAGCTGGTCCGTATCGGCTTGTTAGAGCCTGAAAACACTCTAATATTTTATTTATTTTTGAATCTCTGTATGCCAGCCGCCTTATATGCATCAGAAACAGACATAATTTACAAGTTGTGGCAGTGAAGCATGCTTTCTAAAGAAAAAAAATAAAGAAAAGAAGTTAACAAGTCGCTGAGACGCCTGTGGTGTTGCATCATTCTGAGCTGGAAAATGAAGGCAGTCAAACAGACACTGTTGTGCCTTTGCTTCCTGAGGCAGTAATAACTTTCTGGACAGTGTTTTTCATTCATGTATTTTAGGAATTTGATTGCTGTGTTGTTTTCTTTAAAAACAAGACCATTAAAGGAAATGGAGAGTTATTGAATATACAAAAAAAAAAAAAAATACTGTAAATTGACTCAGTATGAAAGGGTTGAAAAATCCAATGACATGAAAAAGAAAAAAATGCAAATTATTTAATAACAAATACAATGAACTATGATCAATTCTGTGGAAAAACAGAATAATGCATAATGTAAAAATCTCCAGTTGCATCATTTTAAGTAGCCAGAACGAGGAGAAGAGAGCGTAGATTAGTGTTTATGCTGTGAATATGTCTGTAGCATAGATTTGTTCGGCTGATTTGTATAACGGGAAGAGGTTTGTAAATGAGCCACTGAGGGATTTTTGTTAAGCAGACTCATACGAAGCAAGGCAAACATGTCACAAAGGAACAAATCTGTTTTTAAACCACTTTTAGCGGGGTGAATCAGTAAGGAGAAAAATGAAAGCATTATCCAACAACTTACTGCTATGTGTGTAGGCGGCTGATAAAAGGAAGAGAAATGTTGAATACAGGGACACAATCGGTTCTGGCTAAGGCACAAGTTCTTGTGAATACTGGAGACAGACAAGGAAAAGGAGTGGAAGGAAAAAAAACCGACAGACTAAGCGAGATAAAAAAAAAAAAAGAAGAACCGATGGCAGGTTTCCCTCTGCAAGGTGACGCCAAGGTAGAAAACGAGATTCACAAAACTCCCCCCAAAGCCTCCTCTAATCAGGATAACATAACCCCATTGCCCTTTGCCTAGCATCTGTCCTGCCTTGAGTCTGTGCCCGCTAACGTGATTAGCACAACAATGTTTGGAGACCTTCCTGTGTACTCACATAATCAAGCCTGTTGTCTTTGTACTCCAAGGTCTTTCTGTTCTCAGTCAGAAACGAGCCCAGGAGACCAGACAGTCGCAGCCTTGGCGCCAGGTGTCCTGAAGACATTTATTCTCCACTCAGATGTAATAGCATGTGAATGGTGAATTGCCAGACAGAGAAAGAATTCTTTACATCCCACACAGTCTGCACCTCTAAACTGGGAAGCTTCCCCGACAAAAGAACCCACTCTGTAGTCCTTGATGTGTTAACACCTTCTTCGCAAGTCACTATAACAACATTAAAGGCCCCTTTTAGACACGTGCTCGGTTCCGTTAATCGGCACCTGAACGCGTCGGCTTCATGTCTGAATTGGCGCCCTGGTGACTCCTCCATAAAAGTTGCAGCAGCTATTTGACAAGGTCAGACACAGTAACATTTCTGTACCACTTTCAGTTTGCCACCAATCTGAACTGCACCCAGTCAGACAGGCAGACAAACAACAGCACTGAGACGTGTAGCAATTTAGGGATTTAGTCTTTTCACGTTTTAGCACCGATGTTTATCCAAAAACATCACTGAAAGCATAGAAGACACATTTCGTTTGCCAAGATCACACCACACCTTTCACTCTGACCTACAATTTTATACCTGTTGTAAACGGAGAAACTTTGCTGCAATAAAAACCGAAAGCGAAACCAAAAAGTGAACACACTGTTGGGGTTTTTTTCTCCACAGATATTAACAGAAAATAAAGTTTAGTTTGTTGCTTCCAGTTGTTTGTAGTCCATGCAGCCTCACACAGCAGCAGGATCCACATTAG